GCTTACTTGACATTATCCTCAAGTCCATTAACTAAAAAAATAAATAACTTGCAGCTCTAAAAATAGCATGAAGTTGAAGAAATGTGTGTGTGTGGTATGCTTGCAACAGGACAGTGTTGCCCTCTAGATGATCAACCTAAATACGTAAACTAGATGGGGGTGGAGAGTAGGGGGTCCCTGTGTTGGCTGGAGATGATGATGAAGGGGTGGGAGAGAGGAAGGGATGTAGGAGGATCTTTTCAAAACAAGGCCTACATCACCGCCGTTTCTTCCTACCTTCATCACAAACCTGCCACCATTAATATTAACAAAGCAAAAGTCTCTAAAAGAACGTGATACCACCTAAGAAAAATTCAGTAAAGACGAAGATACGAAAATGGAACCTTGTATGGCAACTTAGTGGGCAGATTAACGCTTTTAAAAATACTCAACGACGGTACTCGACTTGTGAACAATGGGAGAGAGCTGGTTGTCGACCGTGCAGCGCCCCCGGGGCCTCAGGGGAGAGCTGGGGAGAGAGTAAGAGGGAGGTGAGAGTATGACGGGATGATACAAGGTCCCGGGGTGTTAAGGAATGCTGCCTCCCTCATCCTAGACGTTTGTTGTTGTTTGTAGGGGGATTTTATTCTACTTTATGAAGAAGTGAAGGGTAGGTGGTGTTAATGGGAGGTCACCATGATAATGGAACTCGTAAGGGTCGTCACTTTGACTTACCATGATGGTAAGGAAAGCTAGGGTCGTCACTATGAGTATGACCTACCATAGTGGTTATAGTTGGGGTTGCCACTGGCCTACCATGTTACTAGTAAGGTCCAACACCAATCAGTCAAGTAGGCCCCATAAACAGTGTGGATACATAACACCGACTACTAAGCTTACTGTATAGTACACACGTTGGCAGTAAGTCCGGCATTGCACTAAACCGCCACAATTTCCCAACTGTAAAGTGAGGTACCATTAACAATTGGAGGTGCCTCGGACGCAAACCAGCTACCGTCAGGACAGGAAGGAGATGAACACAATATCCACTCGTCCCTGGCACCCCACCGCGATCCTTATCACGATGAAATTCCGAAAGAAACTTGACGTGCAGCGAATACATCACAGAACTAGTCATTGATGAGCCTCGTCTTTTTCACGAAGATAGACTTCACTGTATTGTGGTTAATAAACTCTTAGTTACCCCAAGTGCGATACAGCAGTGTAAAAAATATATATATCAACTGAAAATAACACTCCAGGTGCCACTTCTTCAACATACTCTGTGCCAGTACCTCGTTAACCTGCCTTATTCATATCTAGATGCACTACATCAGTTGCCTTTATGTTGATGTTATAATGTTTTACTGCGCTTCCATAACTGATGTCTTAGAGCACGTATTTTAGATCAACAATTAAAAATGAAGATACATGTTACCGCATAGTTGTGTGACAGAGACTTCTTAATGGCTACAATATTCGCGACAACTAACTGTACCTGAGAGCATTCAACTTCACAAACAGCTAAAGCCAATTCGGTTGCAGAAAAATAACATTAACACAAGGTTTAAATCGAAAGTTCTTTTATAATTCTTAACCTTCTTCTATAGCAATATGTTAAGCTGTTATTATTATGAGGCTTCTTAACCAACAAGAAAGAGTCAGGTGATGCTATACTGCATTATAAAAAAAATCCCTACTAAGGTGGGAAGTGCATGAGATTAGCTGCGATAGGCGAACAATAACAGGAAACACGTCAGCTGGTATTGAGGATAAAAGCAACAGTTGCATATGTGTTCCTGCTGATATCTGATGCTTTTATATATATATATATATATATATATATATATATATATATATATATATATATATATATATATATATATATATATATATATATACTGTATATATATAGCTAGTTATCTGCTAAAATTCAAGGTGGTTGAGATAACCGTACGTGCCACGGACAAATACCTCCTCGCTACTGGGTAATGGAGCAAAGAAAGGAATGAGTATTGTGCTAGATTGAGACAAAATCATATCCGGTTGAAGCGCTGGTAAGAGCTGAATAGTCTCCTGGGCCAGGAGACGGTATGACCGGATGTTTACTTCTGGCGAGCAATGTTGTATTAGGCCGGGATGACGACTGCAGGGGATCTCGCTCAAGCCCTTGGTTAGGTCTGGTTATCCATAACAACCTGCTTCTGGTTCCTCATTCTGCTTATTAGTGTTGGGTCTGGCCGTCATTATATGCACAGTCAGGGCTGTTCTTCCTCCTTGATGTTGTTCACAACTGTAACCTACGGCGACAGTATCAGTCCCTGGCTATCATAAAGGTTACTTGATATCTTATACTATTGCCATTTTTCTTTCTGATCACATATTGCAATGTTATTTGCAGCGGGTTATGTTCGTAAACTTGTAATGACGTTCAATATCCATAACAATTTAGATATTTAAATATTTCACTTCAGTAGGCTGGTAATGGGTTTATCATACCGTAAGGTTGGTAATAAAATAAACAAATGTGACGCAGGTAAACACGGTTACCAGTCTATTGACACTTTTTGCGTTTGTTGTTATTACTAATATAGTTTTAACAAAATGAATATAAATAAGAAAGGAAAACGGAGAAGGAAAGACGTGAATAAAGCTGTAATTAAGTGGAGAATTATAAGTAATCAGATTGCCTGACTTCCTCAGATAATTTATACCCCCTCCCTGCTCCCACTCACCCCTCCTGTCGGACAGGTCCTGTGTGAATTGCCGCGTCACTCCACACATTCCCGCCCCGTGTAACTACTGCCGGGTCCTCAGTGGTGTAAGCTAAATTAGTCAACTAGATTGGAATTTTTTTAATGTATGAGATGTGGTTAATATGACGGATGGAGAGGGAAGGCTGCAGGCGCTTGGCTTGGCATGTTTTTTTTTACATCTTAAAATCTGACTTACTGTACAAGACGTCACTGTTCAACATTACTCTCCTAAGTCCAAGTTTCAGCGATACGACATAGGTAGATGTTCACCACATAAATGATTCAAGATAAGTTCACCGCAGAAGCGTACGTGTTGTGTGGCAACTGGTGGGTCCCACGAGGCATACGAATAGTATTGTGCAACTCCCCAAGGCAAGAGACAGGGTTGAGTAATGGATTCTGAGAGGTGTGTCAGGGGGCTGGAGAGTGAAGGAGCTGCGGACGTCATCAGGGACAAGGATTTATAGTTAATGGTTCCTCATTTCAAAATATTAGTCAGCGTGTGTACACTACAGATACACTCGTCTTTCTGTATGACAGCCTTATTTGATACACAATTCATCTGAATATTTCCATCCACAAATATCTGTCCAGTACAGAGATGACTCTACTCGGACTCATCCAGCGAACCAGCTAGCAGCCTCCTACTGTCCTACATAGAGGTGGTTCGTGGTGGGAGGGAGGGGTGGTAGAATGACGCCACGATCCTTTCTAGTGTTTCCATGATTACCACACCTCCCAAACTACTTATGAATGATCCACAAACTACACTTCGTGACAATGATCTTTTAATAACCCAACTTTAGATGATACAGTACCACTCACAGTAAAACGAAGTCTCCTGGGAGGTTTGGCTGAGGTGGGAGTGACCCCCTCTCGCTGGAAGCCGGTGAGTACCACACCACGCCCGGCGGTCACTGGGCTGTCCTATCACACACGTTTGGTAAACAGAACAGTGACCTCATTACCACTCCTTAACCGTAGTCCATCACGTCACTTCCACAAATTTCTACTCTCCTGACAACCGAAAGGAGTGAACCATATGTGACCTACAGTAATGTTCTGCAATGTCTAAAGCTGTTTACTTAAGTTTGTGCATGTCACAAAGGTAATACAAAAAATAAACTAATTTAATTGAAACCTTACATTCCCAGAGTAACAGCCTGGGGCTAAAACACTGTTGCTAAGAGCTCCTTGTTCGCTATTCTACTGGGAAAGGGAGGTTCCTTCTCCTGCCTCAGTCGTCTACTGGGAATTTTGCCGTAAAATATTCACCGGCCAACATATACGACGTAAGATACACTGGGTATTTTTTTAATACTAAGCACCTCCAAATCCCCCACCCCCTCACTCTAACAAGGAGACATATGGAAAGCTGCACTCCACTTAATGAAATTACGATAACGAGTTCAATGTATAATACAAGCTTAGCCAGATGTGTGGATTGCTGAGGGGGCTAGTTTATTGGGCACACCCCCTTGCATCCTGTGCAAGGCGAAGGGCAAAAGCGTTTACAGTTCCCAACAGGGAAGATGCAGAGTTCATGCTTGCCTTCTTGAAGACAAAGGACGGCTTCCCTTAGGTCGCATCGGGTCACCCGGCGGGTAGTTACAGTCAGGGGATGAGAGGCTGGGGCTCCGCCTCAGACACGCCCGAAACTACGACAAACATATTAATATTCCACAACACAACCTTAGTCAGGTAGCTCGCCTTCTGAAGTTATGAAAGGCGTTTTCTTTTTCAGAATACCCGGAATAACACGTACTGCATAGTATATTCCTGTAGGGGGAAAGTGGGACTGCTTACGTCAATGGGCATACGGACAGACACGGGGTTTAATTTTAGCGAGGGAGCGTTGGGGAAACTTTAAACATTAACAGCGGCTGGTGTGTCGGGTGAGGGTATATATCATGGGTTCAGCGTTCAACGTTCACCAACAGTAACATCTGCCCTCCTACACAAAAGTTACTACTTCGCCGGAGGTGTTTGGGCATAACTGTAAAGAGGGGGGGGGGTCGCGTCAGCAGTTACGGGCGACTCTGGGAAGTTATTGGTGACGACGTTACTGAGAATTCGAAAACTGTGTCCCTCTGAAAAAGCACATCAGCCACAAGTAGCACACCACCACCACCAGCTGTTTTTACTGGTAAGTTTCACCTGTGGTCGTAAATGCCAACCTGTCTTGCCGGCATTCGAGAAAACTAAGCAAAAAAAAAAAATACTGAATGTACACAGTCAAAATTATAAAACTACAGAAGTACTTACCAGTGCCAATAATAGCAAAAAGGGTTAGGCAAGAGCTGAACACCGACATTTTGAATAAGCGTAAGGCCTAAACAGGAACACTAGTGCAGGACGAGAGACGTACACACCCCGCAAGAGACAGACGATAACTGAGCTATCTACTCGGCGAGTCGACTGTCGGCTACGGCGACCGGCTTGAGCCAGAGTTGGCGTAAGGGAGCAGGGCAGGGGGAGAGGCGTGGATTGTTGGGGTTAACGAATGGGGGGGAGTACAGTACAGTTCTTGCCGTGGAGGGAAGTGAGAGGTAGTTTCTGCCAAAATCCAAGGTCTTTCTCTGTCCTGGACCACTCCTAAGTTCTCACCCACCTAGCCTTGATATCTTACTGGTTCAAATTAAAGGGATCCCAGGTGAGATATATCTTTAAACTCAACTTTCTGAATAACAAAAACTGTGACTCGGAATAAAACACCGACACAAACTTGAAAAAAAGCACAGAAAAAATATGACCGGTGACATAAACAACAAACAAAAACTGGGCCGTACCATAAATATAGAATATATCTGGTGCCTTGGAGTGTTGCTACGTGTACATGATTATTCACGATTCCATAATTAACTCACGGATATTTTTCTGTTGGTTTATATTATTATGTCCGTTATTTAGCTTCCATGATGTTTAAGTTCAACTGCTATATGATTTGTTAATCCTTTAATGAATCATGGTCATTGTCCTTTGTCTTTTTGCACTTTCATGATTATTTGGTATTTTGAGGTAGGCGCTGGAGAAAATAATCATAACATATACTGTATAGTCCTCTATCTGGTTAGTGGATCACACCCAGCATTAAACCTCCTTTTTAATGTTACCCTCCAGTCCTGCCTTCGACCCCTATTAACATTGTATTTAGATAATTTGATCATACAAGTTTGGTGCCTTGTTTTTATTAATGTCCTTATTAGTTTAGCTTGGGTAGTTTGGCTTTATTTTCCCAGGTTGGGTGTAGGGGTGGGAGATCTATTTTGTTATTATTTCTGTCATATAGGCAAGAGTACTAAGAGTTAATTGTTGTTGAAGTTATTTGGAGTACTGTTGTACATTTTATGTATATGTTTAAACTCTTGAAATAATTATAAGTACATAACCAAACATCTACTTTTAATGATACATTCTTAGGGTGCACACAAATAAAATACACCAGGAAAGAATTCTTCTAATTATTTACACAACTAAAAAAAAAACATGCCACTCACACCTATATTAAAGTGGGTCCCATAGCCATGATTTAGGGACAGTGTGGATACAGCAAAGACCACAATGTATACTAAACCTCTTGTTACACAAGGAGGTGGCATGGCCGGTACTGCGCTCGACCGCATTCACATCTCCAAGCTGGATGAATTGGGAAGTGAGCGCTGTATCCACTTGACGGCCGCACTTGTCTCCTACACCTATAACACAACAATTTTCTGCATCATATCTTTTACCTTCTACAAGTTGACTCACAGCTTAGGGGTGATGTGGCAGGGTTGAGGAGGATATGTGTCACTTGGCTGTGGAGGCTCACTGCCCCACCCTACAAACTAGCGCCACACTCTGCTTTTTGAGACAAGTTTTGAGGGTATCCAGTTCCCCTGTCACAAAACGTTACATCAATAGTTAATATAATGAGATTTAATAAGACACCGAAATTCAAATAACCAAAAATGGGATTACTGAAGAAAGGAAGGGTAAGTTCACATATATATATATATATATATATATATATATATATATATATATATATATATATATATATATATATATATATATATATATATATATATATATATATATATATATATATATATATATATATATCTTGATAAAATCACACGGGAAAAGGGAAACAACGGAGCACCTTAGCTTTCGTCTTTATTCAAGACATCTTCAGAATAACAAATTGCTCTGTTGTTTCCCTTTTCCCGTGTGATTTTATCAAGATTTATCTTATCCATGTTTTCATTGTGGATCTACATGATATATATATATATATATATATATATATATATATATATATATATATATATATATATATATATATATATATATATATAATTTTTTTTTACAACCTCATGAATTAACAGCGAGTCTATTAAGTTTCTCAGGTGATGGTTGTGACGCTGTTGTGGAGGAAACAAGGATAAAGAATCGCAGATGACTGCAGTCGATGACCACCTGTCCTTCTCGTAGTGTAAACATGGATTTTGCTTAAGTTCAGAGTTGTTTAGTAGCGCGAGTCAGCCCTCAGCCCCATGTTTTCATTAACCAGTTGTGTTAAGGCGGCGGGGCACGGCGGGGCGAAGGGGACGGAACGGGTCAGAACTGGGCACTTGTACCAGTAAGTTTCGCTTTCGACTAGCCCTACCGACAGTGGTTTTACCAGCTGGAACCGGAGTGAAGCAGCTGGAGCCAAACCAAAACAATAACAATACGGATGCCCTTGAAGACTTTAATGGTGAGATGTTAGCTCTTACAACTCTTGCTTTGTATTAGATACAAACGCGAACAGAAGATTAAAGTAACTCTTGTGGAAGCGTTCCTGGCTGGTGCGGAAGCTTGGTCCTGAACTGCGGAAAAAAGCAAACAAATCACTACTAGTTTTTAGATTTTGAGGACAAATTTCCTTCCTGTGTAGATAATTTAAAATTCCATACGATTGTTTTGTATTTTTACTGTGGAAATAAGAACATAAATGGTAATAACCGGACAAGGAGAAAGATTAAGAAACTGATTCCCATTAGCTGTTGCAGATTTTTTTATTTCCTTTACTATTTTAATCTGTATATATGTATCATAACTAGCTGGACATAACTGTTCATCACACCAATGCATAATATAGTTTCTTTTAACTTTAATGCAATACAATAATTATTCTCTTTTAACTCCGGTATATACAGTTGATGCTATTTCAAGACCACCACGTCGGTCTGGAGAAATCAGCTGCCCTCGAACACTAGCAACTCGGACTAACCGAAAACAAAAGTTCCCGGTGCTACTGCGCGTGTGACACCGCCTTAGTCCACCACCAAGGTCGTAGCTCCACCACCGGCCACAGCTCTACCACCGGGCCGAACTCTTCCACCGGGCCGCAGCACCACCGCCAGGCCGCAGCTCCACCGTCAGGCCGCAGCTCTACCGTCAGGCCGCAGCTCTACCACCAGCGACAACGTGAATGTTTCCTACTTTACTGAGTTCTGAATTAGTGATCGGTGTTAAAATTTTCCTGTAACTTCATCACGACATATGGGGTGGGATATACGACACACGTATGGGTGAACCAGACTAACAATATGGCATTTGTTTGTGTGTTTTTGATGATAAATATTAATAAATGTATACATGCAAGCACCAGGCAGACAGTGGAATGATTGTTGAGATTGCACAAGCAGTATCGGGGATGGAGGAGTGCCCTCTCAAACCTGACTCTGTGAGTGTGTAAGAATATTTCATCTCATTTAGAGGTTCAGTCTCACACTGCTCATGGCCCAGTTACCCTCGCACACGCTAACTCGCCTCACCACACACTAACCTTTACCACACACTCTGACCTCTGAAACGCTGGTGTCGCCACTCGCTTGACTTTATCTGGCCCACTCATTTCTATACAGCCTCTCTCTCTTTGTTCACTGAGGAGCTGAGCTGTGGGAGATGACCTATATACCAGGGGAGGATCCAGGAATATCAAAAGGTGGGCTCCAAGAAAAACTTGTGGGTGGGGGAGCATGGCGAACACAGCGAGCCCACCAATTTTGAAGCCTTGTGCACATGTTATTAGCAGATATTCTGAAGTCAATAGTTGTTACTTTTTATTATACAAAAACGCCAAAATACAATACTGCATTAAAGAAAAGTAGTGGAATTTTCTGATGAAAAGAAGGGGTCCGGACCCCTGGATCCACTCCTGATATAGGCACACAATACTTACTGGACAATATAATACAAGAGGAGAAGGGAAGAAAATGAGGTAAGAAGGGAAAGAATGAGTTATGGACAGGCCCGTCCTTTAGGGGGGAGGGAGGGCGAACAGGGGCGACCGCCCGGGGCCCAGCACTAGACCCAGTGGCCTCGGACACATTACCTGTTGACTGGTTAATCTGACCTGACGGCTTACGCCACCATCACAACCGTGACCTTACCATCCATAGCGACAGTCCCATGGGGGTTGGTGGGGGGTGAGTTCCACTGACAGCATAATCTGACTCCATATATATATTTTCTGGGGCCCCGCAGTGGCTGAGTTGCCCCGGGCCCCGCACCCTCCTAGGGACGGCCCTGGTTGTGGATATTTAAAACACTCTCGGTGTCGAACAAGAGCTCATGAGTTACACTGATTTATTTTTCACAGCTAATCAGCGATGAGCCCGCCACGTGAAGAGTCCAGAAACTATAGTTTAGTGTTAATAGGAAAGCCAAGATAGTGCCTCGGTTTTCAGGAGGAGGAGGGGAGAAAATTGAGTAAGATGCAGTGAACCTGGAGGTTGAATCAGGCCTACATAATGGCGTTGATCATCCTGCAACAGTGGCCATGTGTTCTGAGGGCCATTACAGAGTACAAACAATCTATCCGTGGAGTTTCGTGTCTGATATACTGTATGTATGCTGCGTTAGCCCTCTAAAAATTAAGAATACACTAAACTAATAAAAGATCAATAGTGACTCAGTGACCCCCGAAAGTTTCCAGCGAGGCTCTTTAAAGTCCACACCAGCACGGCTACTGTAACTGATCAACACATTATACTTGGCAATTCGAAGCTTAATATTTCACCTAATGCAGTTGAACACATCTAACTCACGAAAGATTCTACGCGGATTAAATGGATCACCTTAAGATTAAACACCCCAGCTTACTTCCCTTGAAGATTAACAACCCTAATGCTACCGGGGAGGGTTAGATTAAATCACTTTGGGTTAAGTTAAGATAGGTTAGGTTAGTGTTAGGGTGGTTAATCTTCAGGTGAAATAAGCCGTGGTGTCTAATCTTCGGGTGATATGATTACATGTAAAGACAAAACACTACACCGAGATTCCACCAAGTGTCTCTCTCTTAGCCACCAACGAGTCCAAGAACCCCAGCAGGAGAATGTGACCAACCCATCTCCCTACCAGCTCCTGAAGGGGGTGGTCGGTACTGGTAA